GAAGGGCATCTTGGTTCTTTCCACAGTTTGGCGACCGTGGCCATTGCTGCTATGAGCATTGGGGTACAGATGGCCCTTATTTTCACCACATCTGTATCTTTGGGGTAAATACCCAGTAGTGCAATTGCAGGGTCATGGGGAAGCTCTATTTTTAATTTCTCGAGGAATCTCCACACTGTTCTCCAAAGTGGCTGCACCAACTTGCATTCCCACCAACAGTGTAAGAGGGTTCCCCTTTCTCCACATACCCTCCAACACACGTTGTTTCCTGTGTTGCTAATTTTGGCCATTCTAACTGGTGTAAGGTGGTATCTCAATGTGGTTTTAATTTGAATCTCCCTGATGGCCAGTGATGATGAACATTTTTTCATGTGTCTGATAGTCATTTCAACAACAGTTTATGTTACAAATACTCTTCCTTCTCTTCATCCTGCCCAAGTAGAAATAGCTCAGGAGTAAATTATTTTTATCCTGCCACTTGAAAGATAAAACAGTCTTCAGCAGGGTGTACTCAGAAATGGAGGAGCCATTGTGTCCCATGGGAACAGGAAAGTGTGCAGAAGGAACTGAGCCACTTCAGGACTGTTCCTGAGGCCCTTGGATGTCCCCACCACCTATTGTGACCACATCATTCAGCTTCCTCAGACGCCCATTCCTTTTCCTTCCTTTCAGTAGATGTTCTGTGTGTGTGTGTGTGTGTGTGTGTGTGTGTGTGTGCACCCGTGTCTTTTCTCTTTGATAGCATGCCTTAGAAAGAAAAAGTATTTAGTTTTTGAACCTGGTCTAGTTTTTGTTGTTATTACTTTTTATGTACTATTGATTTATTGGTAATATGTATTATAATCAGTTTGTATTTGGTATAACAAATTGGCTAAATGTTTCTCAACTCTTGACATCAATATGAGAGATACCTAAGATACCTAATATTAGAGAAACAATAATAGTTCTTTTATTTATTTATATGTATTTCTCACCTAATCCTCATCATAACCTGATGTGATAGGGGTTATTATCCATACTTTATAGAACATAGAACTGAAATGTAGAGAGGGAAAATAAACTTGCTGTGATCACACAGGTAGAGGGAGAAAGGCCAGATTCAAGCTGAGGGCAGTAGCCATTAACCTGAGCAGATTCTATCTTAGTAAAATGAATCAGCACAACTTCACTACTGCGAGAAGGGTGCCATATTCTCCCTTTCCTCTAGCTGTGTGACTAAAGCATGGAGCTTTTCATCCAGGTTTTAAAAAACCATCTCCCTCATTATTTAGACTTTCATAATACTTACTTGTTTCTCGGTGAGCTTGAGAATATATTGACTAGAGAATTATTATTGTCTAGCTTGAGAAACAGAAGCAGTCATTTACTCTGTCTCTTTTTTGGTCCACATTCCATATGGACCAAGCCCTGTGCTCAAGACCCTGGAAGCACTTACCCTAGTTGTGTGTAGCGTTAGGTAGCAGCACTGGGGGTATAAGTCCAAATCAGTCCAGTTTGAATTTGTGTCTTGGCCACTGCCCACAACTGGGGGAGCTTCACTGGCTCAAGAAAGGCTGCAGACTGACACAACAACTTGAGAACACATAGGAATTCTGACTGCAGTGTTGGCTCTGGGCCGCAGGACGCAATGGCTTTTCTTATTTTCCTCAGGGGACTTTTGCTACCTGATGAGGCTTCCTATACAACACCATGTGCCTTTGCAGTTGGATGGAATGATTGGACCCCAGAGGGCTTCAACTTCTTGGTGTCTTTTATACAAAGGAGTAGGCCCCAAAAGGACTTCTTACATAATGTAATTGTAATAATTATAATAAAGACCAGTGGCCTTTGTGGCAGTTGAAGTTGCTAAATAAAATCTGGGCAGCTTCACCTACTGATCTGAATTTACTATGACCTCCTGTTTTTCTAGGGTGACAGAGAAGCAGAGCTGGGGCTGCCTTTTTCTCCTCTGTGTGATCGAAAATCAACGATGGTTGCTCAGTCGCAAGTGGGTATGTGTTGACAGCCCTTTGGATGGGAAGAAAAAACAGAGGGGTGCCTAGAAGTAAGCTCAGATGCTCCCAGTGGTTCTTTGGCTGGGAACCTGGCTCCATTCTGCTGTACTGTGCTCATGGCTCTGGCTGGTTGGGTTGATGGAGCTGCTCCCCCCATCCTACTCTCTGGAATGTGGCTGGTTTGTGGGAAGATTAGACAATGATGCTCTGCTATCTCTGTTATTCCCCACTAAGAGCAAAAGGGGCCTCAACTTTCCAGTGCAATGACAAGAATCAGTGGCAAGAAGCCCATTCTATTTCAGCCTCTCCATTCTGCATGCAATACCGGAAGTCTCCCTGGCATTGCTCCTCAATGATGCTTCCTCTGGCCTTGTTTCCAGGACAGTCCCATTTCCTGGATGACCCTACTTCTAGGAACGGTTCATTTTAAATGTTTCCTTCTTTTTAGAAATGTTTTAGCACCTTTTTTTGGTGAAGATAATTTTATAGTGCTGATAACCATAATATGTGTGCATTACAAAAATTCTCAGATATGAGAGAGGGTACCAGTATCACACATAAATTAACTATCAGCAGTGCTCTTCACTTGGAAGAGTCTGCAATCACTTAAAAAAGAAATTCAAAGATTTACTGATTTTTTCCTGCTTGTATTTTGAGTACTCATTCCTTTTTTTCATAATAATATATTGAGTTTCTGTGAGGTGCCAGGTGCTAATGGGTACTAAAACAGATGTTATAAAAAAACAAATACAAATTATGTATGGTATCTGCTCCCAAAGACATTGAACCAGTGTTGGGCGGTAGGTAGGACGTTAGGAAAACAGAAGCTGTGTGAGTGTTACAGTACTAAGGTAGAGTTTTGTACATGGCACACTTGGGTACGCAACAGAGTGTGGACCATTAGAAGCAGAAAGACTTGTTGAAGGGTAATATTTGAGTTGGGGCTTAAGAAATAAGTAGGTAGTTATCTAGTTAGATGGTGTTGTTGGTTAGAGGTGTGTAAAGGGTAAGTGGAAGGGCATTCCAGGTAAGGGATTAGCATATACTGAGCAGGGAAATTTAAAACAGTCTTGTATGGTCAGGGCATCACAAACAGCTCCATACGGCTGGAGTAGTGGGCAGAGAATAGGATGAAGTGAGCGACATGTCTGGAGAGAAAATCAGGGCATATCTAAAGAATTTTAAATAAGATTTAAAAATATATAAATTGACGCTTTAGAATAAGAGTCTGCAAACTGTAGCCTGGGGACTAAATCTGGCCTACCACTTGATCCTATAAATGGTTTTATTATAACACAGCTAAGCTCATTCATTTGCAAATTGTCTGCGGCTACTTTTACACTACAGTGAGAGAGTTAAGGAGTTGTCATAGATTTGGCCCACAGAACCTAAAATATTCACTGCCTGGTCCTTTGGAGAAAGTTTGTTAACCGCAGTTTTAGAAAAATTTTCTATCAGTAGCTGGGAGGGTTCTGAGTTAGACTGGAGGCAAGGAAATCAGCCTGGTGCCTTCTGCAGGATTATAAGGAAACAATGATGGTGATAGGATGGAGGGAGGACAGAGATTTTCCAGGAGAGGGGTAGCATGTAATATATTAAGGATTCAGCTGGATGCAAAACTAAGGTGAAGGCAGCAATCCAGATTAAGTGGTTGGACCATGGTCCCATTATAAGGGATGGAGGGGAAGCTGGTAATTTAGTTCTGGTTTGGACCTGTTGACTTTAACTTGAATGAAAACAAAAAGGTGAAAACAGTGTCATGAAACACTTCAGTTTCAGCTTAAGCCAAATTTATAAAATTAGACTGCAATTAATTGTCATACAAAGTTGGCCATCAGTGTTTCCTTATCAGGATACTATGGGTATTTGGGACAATGCTTGTTTTGCCAATTACATTGTAAGGTTTTTAGCATCCTTCATTGTTAGGCATTAATTGCCAGGATCACCCCCTCCTCAGTCATGAGAACCAAATAGCATTTGTACAAATCACCATATTTCCTTTGATTGGTATTTCATTTTCTTCCAACTTCCATGTGGCTGTGTAATGAACCACCACCAGTAGTTTCAGATCATAAATTTTCTACTACTATGTCACAGCATACCCAGGCAATTTTGGGCCATTGAGACAGTGACTCTAACCTAACATCAATTATCTCCCCAACATGGCAATATCTCCAAGTTCCAGTTCCAGATCCAGATCTGACCCCTCTCCCAGTTTCCAACCCTCGTTCTTTTGGTTCTGCTTGCCCTCTCTCATCTGGATATGTCCCTGGCACATCAGAGTCAGCAGATCTAAGACTGAGCCCATCGTCCTTTACCCTGGCCACAGTTTCCCATCATTCCTCTGTTCTCTGCTTTGCAGTGGGAGGTATCTGACAATTCCCACTTAGAAGCAGCACCCCCCCACACTGTGCTTGCACCTGTGCCTCCGTGACACCCCCGTCTTTCACTAGCACTAAATCCCACCTTCCTTACCTTTCCTTCAAGCTGTTGCAACAGCTTCTAAAATGATTTTCCCAGCTTCAGCCTCTTCTGCTCTCTCCCTTCATGTCCATCTTGCCTGATTAACTTTCCCAAAGAATAATGAAAAAAATCTAACTGTGATTCTCTCTAAATATCTCAAGGGGCTTCTAGTGCACATTCTAGGTCACACCCAACTCCTTGGAGAGATCCTTAGGAACCTCCCTCCCTGAGCTGGTGACTACCTGCCTTCCCAAACTTTCCCCTCTCCAACTCCAAAAATATCCTTAAGCCCCAGTCATTCCTGAGACACATCCTACATTTCCCCCATCCTCATCACTTGGCTTATCCTACCTCTTCCACCTCGAGTGAAGAAACTTAGGGCTCAGCTCAAACATCACAACCTCCATAAAGCTGTTCATAGGCCTCTCAGTGGGAAGGAAAATATTCTCCCTCCCTTACCTTCCCAGGGGCCGTCTTTGGGCTTCTCTTTGTCCTTTTCCATGTACTCTAGGGGTCATTTTTGTGCTTAGTTAATCTCTCTTATAACGCCTTGAGGGTAGACAGGTTGTGATCTACATCTTTGTCTCACAGGCAGCACCAACTACAGCATTTGTTGGATGGAGGGGGCGATTTGAATATGTGTTTCTTAATCACTCGATTGAGCTAGCTATTAGAAAGTCATAGAAAAGTTATGTAAGAGAAATGGAACTGACTCACGATATTCAACTCAAGGCACATGTTAAATGAATAAAGACCAACTTCCTCTCTCCTAATCTGATCTGGAGTTCCTCTGTGGATAAATTTTAAAAGAAAGTTAAGATTCATCAGTTTCCATAGGAAAATATGGAAAGGCCCAATTAACATGTAGTTCCTCTGAGGTGTTGCTGTCTCTCTTCAGGTTTTATTGATTTCATTGTGGAGCCCACCTTCACTGTGCTCACGGACATGACTGAGAAGATTGTGAGCCCTTTAATTGATGAAACCTCCCAAACTGGTGGGACAGGACAAAGGCGTTCAAGGTGAGTGGAGAAACTTGAAGGATGGGGGTCAGGTCAGCCTGTCTGTGAGGACAGAGTTGTTCCTTTGGGAGAGATGGGGGTATTTTATAATGATGTTTGCTCTCCCTCTCTTGTAAGGGGGTTGTCTGCCTCTTTCTTTTTCTCAGAGGAATGGAAGCTGGACTGTCTGTGCTCTCCAGGCTGGCCTGGAAGGGAGTGACCAAGATTCACACCATGACTGGTGGGTTTCCAGTGCTGGTCCTCTACCCTTTTCTCTCTTTTGGTGCTTTCGCTCATGGCAGCACCCATCACGGCACTTTGACCTTCTGGGCCCAGGCGGTCCTTGCTCCCCATACAGCAAAAAGAAAGTACCCCTGATCAGAATTCTCACAAGAAATGAAACTGACTTTAATTTCTAGGTTTCGGAGAAGAAGGAAGTGGAGGAAGGAAAAAGAACCTGGGGTCAGAGGCACTCCAGTATGGGGTGGGGGTCTGGAGCTGGAGCAAAAGAGGTACAAGTGACTGGGTAACTTGGAAAAGTGGTCAGTGTCAAAGCAGGTAGGTACAGTGGGGAACCAGGTAGCAGCCCAGTTTCAAACGGGTTAATTTCAGAGAACTGAAGACAGAGAATTCATGTGAGAGAACTCTAGTCATATTGAATAAGAGGATACCAATCAGCAGAGAAGAAATATGGGGAAAAGCAACCCTCATGAGGCTGAAACCTTGATTTTTTTTTTCCTGCTGAAAATATAGAATTTCCTATTTGTCACATATGGAAAATAGGAATCTCAAATTTCAGGACCCAGGAATTTCGCAACACAACTTGAGGAGTGTTAACCACTCCTTCTTGGGCTCACTCCTTGGCATACATTTTTTTTTAAACACTAACCTTCCCCTTTGGTGTGACTTTGTGTCCTCCAGTTTGAACAGCATCAGTTCAGCGGATGCAAAGCGGTCGGGTGTGAAGAGCACTGGCTCGGAAGGAAGCGCCCCCATCAACAGTTCTGTCATCCCCGTTGACTATAAGAGTTTTAAGACGACTTGGACTGAGGTGGTGCACATCAACCGAGAGAGATGGAGGGCCAAGGTGCCCAAAGGTAACATGCTACTGGGGAATCTTCCAGGGGATCTGTCCAGACCCACTTAGAAAACAAGGCATTGCTACCCCTGATTTATAGGAATTACAAAGGAAACACGATCTCAGGATCTGGATTCAAATGGCTTGACTGGTAGGGTCCAGTGTGTGTAGCACTCAGTGCACAATAGAATAAGGCAAGCCCCCACTTCAGCATGACCTTTGTGCTTGACTAAATTCTTGTTGGTGTGAAGATCCTACCATGGATGGCCGTTATTTCTTGGTTTCTGCGAGACCACCTTGTCATTCTCATTTCATGTCATGTGACATAATGATGAGGCCTACTTTCTTCCTTTATCTGAGTAAAGCCTGGCCAATAGCCACCTCTAACTTTACACTGGGATAGAAGGAACTGTAATATCCTTTCGAGCATTTTTAGCCCCCTTTCATGTTCTCAACTTATCTTCAGTCATGACTCAGGGACCTTCTGAGACCAGACAAAATTTAGGTCTCTTACTCTTCCGCCATCTTGCTCCTCCCCTCAGACTGATCTGAGATGAAGGTAGCTTGTAGGCAAAATTCACTGAGGCCAACATCAAAATTCAGATGAGAAAAGTCAGGACTCTTGGTACTATAGATAAAAAAGACTGAAATCCTTGTGCTTCTTGACAGCTGAAATCCATTTGCTCATACACATATTCATGTTTCTCGAACACATACTACACGATCCATACGTACGACATGCTCAGCCTGTAGCCTAGGGAGGAACATGTACGTGGGATAGGGGTACGATGCCATGGCACTGGATTCTAGGGAGAGACGCAAACATAGATGGCTCTTGGAGCTCAGGGAGGGGACTGACCCCAGTGGGATTTGTGGAGGTGAGACTTCAACAATAGTCAGTGTTTGTTAACATCTACCGAATGCCTCCTACGTGCTGAGAGTATGGAGATGAAGCACAGACATCCTGGTCCTCAGAGCTTACCGTCTCCTGAGAGCAGGGGGCATTCCCACAGAGTTTCCTCCAAGGGCAGGATGGAAGTTCAGTCAAGGATTTGCGCTTGTCTCCAGCACCCATTGGCCCTGGGCCCCAGGCCCTCATTACAAGAAAGGAGAGTTTTATCCTCAAACACAACCCTGACACTTTTATCAACCAGGGCCTGCACAGCAAGTTGAAGGAAGTGTGGGAGAGGCCGGGCAGGATAAGTTCTGGCTCTGGAGGCCCCTCATACATCAGGGGCTGCTTCTAGGGTGGGACAGAAGAGACCCACCCCACTGCTGCAGTTGTTTAAAAGCCGGCTCCTGTGGCTTGTCCACAGAATCCTGCCCGAGTGGTTGCTCATTTCAGGTGGGGCAAAGGGTTTGTATTTATTGGCGCTTTTAAGGCTTAATTGGGCCCTTATCATTTCAGGACAGATGTTGGACCCTGAGCTACGGAGCCAACACCTCTTCCATATTTTAAATGTAGCCTCTCCCAGTCTATTCCGATGCTTGAAACATTTAAATTCTCCCTGTTGGCAGAGCTTGCAAGCAGCAATTGCGGCTACTACGTCATCTCAAAAGAAGCGCTCTCTTACAATCAGTTACACTCATTACATACGAAAATCCAATTCCCGACCACACACAGTCTAAAGAGGTACTTAAAAATAATTTGTTTGCAGTTCTCTGGCTTGCTTAAGTTACCTTCAGAAACTGATCACCGAGGGGACCATAGCCGGCTTCTTTTCCAGGGGAAAACTGGCCCTTTGAGAATGTTGTAAATAAACGCTAATAATTACAAAATGTTAGGTATGCTGATTGTGATATGGTTAAGCTATTTTGGAAGCATAAAGGGACTTGTCCCTAAATCTGTCTAGGGTGTTTCAGAAGGCATCTTGTAGCCAGGACTTCAAGGATGCCTGAGGTTGAGTCCTGCAGGAGGTGTTAGATTTTAAAATGGGAAACAAGGAGAAAAGATATGGATGGAGGCACAAAGCCTGGGTTATATATGTTTCGTGGGAAGATAGTTTGAATATCAAAGCAAATTTCAGTTAGTGGGGAAATGGAGAATTGAATCCCTACTTGCACTGGGCTCTTTGGCAGATTCATGTAGATTCTTTGAGAAAATTACCTTCTGAGGATGATAATAGATATCACAGAGTTGATGCAAAGAACAGAAATAGATTTGCAAAGCACTGAGAATGGAGCCTGCATGTGGTTAGTGCCTGATAACTCATAGCGGTTATTTTAAAAAAGCTGGGAAAGAAAGTTAGAGGTTGGAATGCAGAGTTAAGAAGATAGTGCTAAAAATACCAACCTATATCTAATACTCTATCTTACCGTTTTCAGCCTCCCAGGAATGCTGTTGACTAGTGCACTGGTGCTGAGAGATCCATTTACATCTTTCTTTCCACTGGTGGTTAGTTTGTACTTGATTATCCCAGGCTGTTTTGCTCTCATTCTTTTCTATAAGAAAACCGCAATTTAAAGAAAGTCTGACCTGCATGGGGCACTTGAACATATCTTGTTATTAAATTGATTAGAATGGGATCTAAAGTCTTAGTTTTATTAACCAACCTGATAGACAAAGCTTGCTAGACCAGAACCCATAGTTGTTAGAAATGATTAAATCTATATTTCTTAACAGCTCTCAGGGCTGAAAATTATTATTCCCCAAGATATGTAGGCATAATAATTTGTAAGTCTGATCAATATTGATCAATTTTTTTCAGTATTTAATACTTTATAAACATTTTTTTCTGGTGTAAAAATATGTTTAGGTTATAATGCTGAAATACAAATATATGTGTAAAGAAAAAAATAAAAATCACTCCTAACTTCTTCAGCCAGATATTGGTGAAATTCGGATATGATTCTTTTTAATTTTATTTATCATGCATATATATTTATATAAGTAAAACTTTATATTTTGTTTTACTATTTCTATTTTAAGAATTTTATCTTGATATTGAATATTCTCAGAAAGTATGATTTAAATGGCTGCATTTTTTTTTTAATTTTTTTTTAATTTTTTATAAACATATAATATATTTTTATCCCCAGGGGTACAGGTCTGTGAATTGCCAGGTTTACACACTTCACAGCACTCACCATATAGCACATACCCTCCCCAATGTCCATAATCCCCCCCCCAAATGGCTGCATTTTATGTAACAGTCCTCTATTTCTGCACATTTTGGTTGTCAATTCTTCATTATTATATATAATACAGTTATAAACATACAAGTTCAAAAGTCTTTGAACCTGCCTCTGATTACTTACCTAGGATAAATTTCTAGATGTGGAATTCTTCTGTCAAAGTAAATGAAAAACTATAAAGCTCTTGATATGTATTATCAAATTTCTCTCTGGAAAGTTTCTTCTTCTTCTTCTTTTTTTTTTTTTTAACTAATGTCTTCCAAAAGAAGTGGGAGTTATTTCCAATAGAAGTGGGAGGTATTCCCCCTTCATTTTTCTCATTAGGATGTTTATATTTTTATTATTGATTCATAATAACTCTTTACATATAAAGGACAGCAGTTCTTCAATTGACAAAATATCTTGGCAGTTTCTGTCATATCTAGTTTGTCATATGCCTTTTAATTTTTTGTCATATGCCTTTTAATTATGTTCTTTTTTGATAAGTATAGTCACCATCTGTCAACTTACAACATTCTTGTAGTATTATTGAGTATATTTCCTATGCTGTAGTTTTTATCTCCATGATTTATTTATTTTGTAACTGGAAGTTTGTACCTTTTTAATCTCCTTTATCTATTTTGCCCTTCCCCCTACCCATTAGCTAGCTTTGTAAATGGTCTTTTTAAATATATCCTATTTGGGGGGTGCCTAGGTGGCTTAGATGGTTAAGGTCTGTCTTGATCATGATCAAGACATGATCAAGATCATGATCTCTAGATCCTGGGATCAAGCCACATATCAGGCTCCCAGCTCAGTGGAGAGTCTGCTTCTCCCTCCCCACTTCCTCTCCCTGTGCTTGTGTTCTAATGAATAAATGCAAAATCTTTAAATACATCCTAATTTTATTTTTCCAGAGATTATCTTTACATTTTTATTGACTTATGTGTCTATTAATGTAAATATGAAATCGTATATAATGACACTCTTTGCAAATGCTGAGATATTTATTGAATTTTTATTTATTTCTTCCATAATCGATCAGTTTTTGTTGAGATACCACAAGATTTGTAATCTGAGTGATTATAAGTAAATTGTTATTTAATTAACTTAACCTTAATATTACTTTTAATATTTGCTTCAAGTTTTATATCTAGCTTAACAACAATTTTTTTTAACACTAAGATTTACTAGTTTTATTGCACATCATTTATATATTTTCCTCATTCTTGAGGATCTAATACTGCTTGAATTTTTCTCCCAGCTGGAGGACTTCTTGGCTTCCATTTTTAGAAAGACCCCGTGTAAACACCTTCTGAGTCCTTAAATATATAGAAGTATTTTTTTGTTGTTTTTGTATATAACAGAGTTAACTATTCAAAATTCATATAGTATTTTGGTTGTTTGTTTTTCTGTTAGTCAGTTTCTCTCCTTTTCTTTCTCTCTCTCTGTAGGTAGTTTAAGTAGGTAATTCAGAAAATTATATCAAGGGATAACTAGTTCAATGCCATTTTTAACCAAGAGACTATAAATCATTATTCAGAAAGGGAAGTTGAACAAAGAAATCAATGTACTTCTCCCAGAATGTGTAGGCATTCAGTGTGGGATAGAACCAGCTCTCAAGAGGAATGAGAATTATGGATCATGAGGGCTCTGCTCTGCCTTGCTCTACCTTAACTCAATAGCTGCTTGTTTGGGCCATTTTCATTGTGAGACAAATCACCATAGATAGTCTGAAACAGGAAGCAAAAGGAAATGGAATTGAACTCTACTAGTCTAGAAGCCTACCAGTATGACTTAGATGCCTAAAGATGATAGATGCCTAAAACTAAGAGCTGAAAACTTAATTCTATCTATATTATCCTCAGAACCTTGTAGCACATACAAATTAATTGTACACTTAACCTACTTTTTCTCTTTGTAAGAAAGGTTTAGGTATATTAATAATTTCACCCTGAAAATATGTGGCACAAACATACTTCCTGTCAATTTTTTTTTCTTATTTACATGCTTGCTTGTTTTTGTTTGTTTGTTTTAAAGATTTTATTTATTTATTTGACAGAGAGAGACATAGCGGAAGAGGGAATACAAGCAGGGGCAGAGGGAGAGGGAGAAGCAGGCTTCCCGCCAAGCAGGGAGCCCAATGCAGGGCTCGATCCCAGGACCCTATGATCATGACCTGAGCTGAAGGCAGACGCTTAACGACTGAGCCACCCAGGTGCCCCTGTTTTTGTCTATTTAGAGTAGTATCACTGGGTGCTGATGGCTGGTCACCCTAATATCATATATTTCAAAGACTCAAGGAGAGATGCAAGTAGAGAAGTTGAAGAACATTGCAGGCCACCTGCAGGAACACAGTTGCCACAGGGAAAGGAGTCATGTAGTGGAACAGGTCACCTAGGATCTGATCATAATGTCGTAGGAGCTACCATCATTAATGCAAACATTAATCACCTGCTGTCCACAGTAGTTGAGCAAAACCAGATTTATTTCTAAAATGGACCTTCTCCCAGGTTTTTTTCTGCTGGATTTTCCATAAAAAATTGTTCTGACTCAGTTGTCAAATGAATTTTTTTTGCTCAGATAATATTTTATGCTCTTCTGTAGCAAACCAGAATTTAACACCTTCAGTTTTTATCAAGTTCCTTTTAACTTGAGGATATTTTGAGTGTTGGAAGCTTGCCACAGCTACAGTGGGGATTCTGTGAGAGGACCATGAGTTATTTAACCTGGTACTTGAATATGAATGAAAATTCCCCTCCCTATCACTTTTTCTCTGTGTGGTGAATACATCATCTTTTTACTCACCTGTATTAGTGGTTAAGGAAACCAACATTTGTCAAATGGCTAGCTCCCCCAGGATAGGACTTTAGAGTTTGTACACTTTCTGTATTTTACACAGGCCTGGATTACAGATGATGGAATAGGTACAAGTCAGGTTCATTGGCAGATAGGGGGAACCATACCATGTGTTTCATTTAGTTAACAGATACTCCATGTGTATCTGCTATGTGCCAGGTGCTGTACCAAGCACTGGAATTCAGTGATGGAGATGACATTTAACCTCTGTCCTCAGGGCACTGTGGGAGGATGAGAGGAAGTCAGGGTGAATAGTCTATGGGGCCTTCTGTGACCCTGTAGTCCAATGAGAATGCCATCTCAGCATCTGCAAGGGCATTCTCTTACCCTTTAGTTGTACCTTTCTGTAGAAGTCAGAAGACAAATTATACTCTATATGTGAATAATTATTTAATTTTTTAAAGAAATCTTTACATACCTTTTCATTATAAAGTATAAATGCATCTTGTTGGGTAGCAGAATGTCAGGAAATATTGAATGGCAAACATTTAAAATTTAAATCCATGCTTGTCCATACTGATTGCATATTAGAATCATCTGGAGAGCATTTAAAATATCCTACCCTTGCCCCTCTCCCTCCACAATATGATTTAATGTGTCTGGGGTGAGGCCAGGGCATTGAATTGGATGGGTTGGAAGGATGAATCAATGAAAAGATTAATGAAAACTTAATAAGATATTAAGGAGGACATTTGAGCCAGGCAGATATAGGGGGAGGAAAAGCAAAATGAAGCTGGAGATCAAAGACATCCACAAAATACAATGCCATAAAGCCCCACGAACATGTGAACTGGATCAGATTTGGGCTTTTGTGCTCTTAAGCAGCTAGGACAAGGGGAGACATAACCACCCTGGTACCCATTAGATTACAAACAAACTTGTTGTCTGTGAAGGCTAGTTTTTTTAGGAGCAAGACTAACCAAGGAAAATAAAGAGGACCCTTGATAATGAGATGTGGGATATTTTTAACCCATCTAGAGAAAAAAAAATGCAGTAGTGCTTTTTAGAATGGACGGCACAATCTGGAAGGCCTTTTGAATCAGTTGGATGCTAAACGGGCTGGGTCTGTCCGGTAAGGGAGGTCTGGTCTCTGTTAGGTGTGTGTCACTTCCTACAGCCCAGCACCTCTTCATTGCCTCAACCCCCCTGTAATACCTCAGCTCTGCCTGTCCTTGGTCGTTTGACCACTTCATCTGTCGACAACCGCTTCTAGATCTGTGTTAGCCATACTGACTAACTCAGTATCCCTTGAACATACCAAGCTCATTCTGACCTCATGGCCTTGACGTTTTCTATGTCCTTGCCCTGGAATGTTAGTTTCCCTGATTATTTCATGGCTGGCAATTCATCATTAAGAATTTGTCAGGTAGCACTTTCTTTACCTCCTGATCTAATGCCACCTCCTCCCTTATGCTGATCCTGTTCCTTCATACTACTTTACTTTCCTTTTTGCTTTACCTTTTTCACCACCTGAAATCATCTTACTGACTGGTTTACTTAATTATGGTCTTTTCAGTTCCCATAAGTCTTGTTTGCTCCTACATTCCCAGTGCCTAAAATGGTACTTGATACTGTCACTCCTCAATAAATATGTTGAACAAATGAACCAATCTTTTCATGAATACTTGATTATATGCAATGATGCTGTGTTTTTGATGAAACACAGAGTCAGACCTTTTCAGAGTAAGGAGAATTGGAAATAAGGCTGACATCCTCTCATTAAAGGGGAAGATGCAGACCAGGGTACCTGCCCAAACTAAAGGCTACATTTAATCTTGTGGACAGTTTGAAGACCGTGCTTTTTGTAAGGCCTAATTATTCTCTTCCTACTTTTAATTTCACAGTGACCTGAAACGGTGGTGGTTATTTTTCCTGTCTTTCTGTTTTGTCATCAGTTGTTTGTGTTTAAACTCCAGAGCCTAAGCGAATCTCCATGAAACTCCCAATTTCTACTGTGGCCATGGGAGGGTTTTGTAGTGTCCCTGAGCCTTGACTTCACATTTCTAAAAGAGGGTTTTAATAATGGTAGCTACCGCCTACGTCTGTTTTGAGAATGAAAAAGTAATCTTTAGAAAGCACTTAGCATAATACCTGGCAAAGAGGACACACTCAAGAGAAGTTATTGATGATAAAATTGAAAATGCCAATTGTTATATTGGTTTATTGTTATTATCCTTATTATTATTACTTTCTCCCTGCCCCTTCTGCTCACCCACTATTTCCAGAAATGACATCACCAGGAACCGATTTTATTAGTTTCCTGAATATGGACACTAATCTCACTCGAATTAACCAGAAATAGACCCCAAACACTCAGTGCAAATACTTGTTTTTGTTTAAAGAGGCAGTTCTCCTAATAGCGTGACCTCTTTTCATCTTTTCTGTGCCTTTCCTGACTTGCCATGGGAACAGAGGAGAAGGCCAAGAAGGAAGCAGAGGAAAAAGCTCGCCTGGCTGCAGAGGAGAAGCAAAAGGAAATGGAAGCCAAAAGTCAGGCTGAAGAAGGCTCAGCTGGCAAAGCCGAGAAAAAGACATCTGGGGAAGCTAAGAATCAAGTCAATGGAACGCGCACGAACAAAAGCGACAACCCTCGTGGGAAAAATTCCAAAGCTGAGAAGTCCTCAGGAGAAAAACAACAGAATGGTGAGTACAGTTTCACTGGTGAAAGGCTCTTTTCACGGTGTTAATGATGTGATGAATGGAAACTGGCAAATAACCGCACCTAGGAGGATGGCTCTCGGAGCCGCGTCTCTGGCCCCCCCAGCTGCTGCTCATCACACCTCACTGGGCCATGGATTCCATTAGGATCCCATCAAAAGCAGCCAGAGGCTGGCTTGGGCCTTTCTCTCTGGGGAGATTTATGCTTGTCAGACCTTTACCAGCTGTTCTGGAGACTCTGGTCAGTGCCGGCCTGTCCACTGGGGAAATAACTATTACCAATCTGAGCACATTCCTGAGTGCTTACTGCCCAGATGTGTGGATGGAAAGTGTCTTCCATATGCACCCTCCCTCTAGCAGGCAGGGCTGGGACTCAGGTCTGTGTGTCTGTAGGTGAATAAATATATACATTAGAATGACCACCTGTCCCCTTTGCCTGGGGACTGAGGAGCTTCCTGCATCTAGAGCTTTAGATTTTAAAACCAGAAAAGTACCAGCCAAACCCGGATGATCTAGTCATCACCTTAAATGCACTGTGCTTGACGCTGAGAATTTAGAAGTAGAAAGGCCACAGGAAGTCCACAATCTCATAGAGGACATGGACATCCTTAGAAATAATTCTGAGCAAGTAACAGTCATGGCAAGGCAGCCAAACTTAGCTCAAGGATCATGTCAAAAAAGAGACATTGGCCTTCTTGTGTCTGAGGCTCATAGAATGGAGAAATGTCCAAGAAAGCTTCAGGGACTGGTGGTGCCTGAGCCGTTTTCAATGCTGAACTTCGCTGGTCAGATGGGGGATGGGGACTTCTTCACCAGAGGGACCAAGACAAGCTGAGGCACAGGCCATGGAATGGTTACCTTGTTTAGGGAAGATCAGGAAGTTCAGAGTCTCTGGAACTTTCAAGGGCCCGGTTGTAGCAAGGTAGTTTTGCAGTCTGACAGACTTGGATTCGAGGCACAACTGTGCCTCTCACTTCTTGGTGGCCTTGATCAGGTTACTTAGCCTTCTACTGGCTCTGTGAAGTGTGCAGAGTAATACCACCTCACGGCAGGGCCACTTATGAGCCTCCAATAATGAGAATGAGAGCCGGAACAATGACAACAATAGAATAATTAGCATTTATTGACTATCGACCAGATGCTCTTTTAAGTACTCTCTTTACTTATTTATTCTCTTATCCGCCTGGTAGGCCACTCTGTAGCTATTATGTATGCAACATAGTCTGAATAAATGAGGAATATGTAGAAGATGCTTAGCACAACACTCTCCAATTATTTTTACAATGAACATATAGAACATGTAGAATCAGAAAACAGTATTTTAATACATACGATAATGTTAATAACTCATATCATGTTCTAAGAGCTTTGCATAAATTCCCTCAAGTAACCGTGTGAGCTCCCCAGGAGGTAGAAAAAACTTGTCCAGTTTCTCAGCAACCTGGTTCTGGAGACTGCTCCTAAGTAGCTTTGTATTCAAGTGCATCATTGTCCAGAAAGTATGTTCAATTATATAAGAATTTATGATATACCTGTTGGAGTTTTTAGAGGGCAGTGCATAAGACCCCCTCTTGTCCCCTCTGGAGGTCAGAACCAACTAAGAGAAAGATACCAGAATCAGAAAGTCAGTGGTCAACATATTAGTTCTCTTGCAACTGGAGTTGAATTGGAAAGTGTGACTTGGTCTACTGAGCACATGGGCTTCTTCACACACCTGCCTTGAAGTGAACTTAGCCAACGAGATACTGGCAGGGCAGGCAGGCCTAGGACCTGCCACCTCATTCTCTCCCCAGGACCCGAGCACCCCAGCACCCCAGAAAGTTGCTTCTGGAGTGATGCAAAAAGTGTGTGTCTTGTAGAAAACATATCTCGGAGGGAGCTGGGAACTAGAGAAATGGGTGGCTGAACTGAACTTTGCATTCTCAAACTCCTCCTAGATGAGCCTCTCCTTCTCAAAGGAGGAGTATGGAAGGGCTCCTGAGAGAGGCAAGATATGTTTCTTCCTTACATTTTTTTTCTTTTAGGAAAGTGGGTTAAAATGCCTTTTCCTTCATAAAAGTAATATGAATAGCATATTGAATGTTTAATATATGCCAGACATTGTACATGAGATTTTACCTACATTAAGTCATTTAAAAATGCTAACAACTCTGTGAGGTAAATATACTGATTCCCGTTTTGCAGATGAGGAAACGGAGACTCAGAGAGTTTAAATCAACTTGCTTACGGTCAAGCAGCCACTAAGTAGAGATTTCAAGTCAAATTCAGGTCTGGGTCCAAATTCTGTGTTTCGTTATCACCATGTCCATTCTATTAGCAAGTTTTGGTGCTATTGGGGAGAGTGGGAAATCAGAGGAATATTAGCCAAGGTCCACGAGAAGCTTATAATCTCTTCCAGGGTTTGGTGTACTTTTTCTGTAAAGGACCAGATAGTAAATATTGTAGACTTTGAGAGCCATGCCGTCTCTACTGCAACTGCTTAACACTCCTGTTTTAGTGCAAAAGCAGCCACAGATAACATATAAACAAGTGAACATGGCTGAATTCCAATAAAAATTTGTTTCTAAAAATGCAAGTTTGAATTCTATATACTTTTCAAATACCATTAAATATTCTTCTCTTTTTTTCAACCATTTAATAATATAAAAACTATTCTTAGTTTTGGGGCCGTATAAGACCAGGCACTGGGAGCATGTTTGGCTCATGGGCCAGAGTTTACCAACCCCTGGTCTGGTCAGGGAGAGAAACCAATGAACATAAACATGCCAGTCACAGAGAGGGTTATAAATTCTATGAGATAGGTATAATCAAATACCCAGAGAGGGCAGAGGTGGCAGAAATCAGTTCTGAAGACCATTAGAGGGAGAGCCTGAAAGAAAAAAACAGGAGCCTGAGTTTTCGACTAAGCTGGGTTGATTTCACAACTGTGTTTATTTCCCAAAGTAATCAACAGTCTGCCATTTCCCTTAAAAATTAAGTATTAAATGAGAGATGGGAAAAGAAGTCAATTTTAAGCAATAATAAGAAAGGCTAATGGTGGTTCGGGACTGTGTTACAGCAGTCTAATGAAAATGATTTATAACTGTGCAGAAAGGCTCTTTTGTTTCCCCTGTTTATTGAATAACAGCTCACATCAGCCATTACTCCATATACAACCCATGGGAAATTACCTAATGGATTCTGTTCAAGGAACATCATCAAACAAATATGTGTCACTTTCCCATCATCCTTCTTTGTGGTCTCCTAAGATACTTCTGGGATGGAACCAGAGGACGGTGGTTAAGTGGAGGTTCTAGAGGTGTTCTCATCAGCCACTATGAGATCCCCTAAGCTTTGGTCTCCATCAAGTTACTTCCTTTCTCAGCCTCTCCAAGCCTGACTAAGGACAAGGCAGGCTGCCCACAGGCTATTGGCTGGCAAATTGAACCTCTCCTGCGACTTCTGGAAGACATCCTGGTCTTGTTGCAGCTGTGGATAAAGCTCCAGTCCAGGGAAACCTTGAAGGCATAAAGTATTGTGCATTAGGGTGTAAAGGCTCATTTAGAAAAGAAAGACATTTTTCTGCAGGGAATTAGTTTGACTACAGGGCTCAAGATCCTTGATTCCATCTCTGGATCCTTAAAAGAAGAAGGAGCCAGTATTTGGAATGTTCCGAGGGACTTCCAAAGGAATCCTCTTTTTGGCCACTGATGGTGGTAAAGGGTAATGAGTATGTCCTTCACTTGAATTCCTCCTGCTTACACTCTGGCTGGAGTTGACCCCCTTTCCCTTCAATCCCTTCAGCCAGTTCATCCCATTTCAGAATTAAGAGTAAGAGGAAACTTGGGGAATTTATTGACTCCTAACTTAGCTTAGGATTTATCAAATTCCATTGGAAGATACTTACTTTGTCAAATATATCACAACCCAAAATGGTCTTGAATCGTCCTTAGATAACCAATTCTTTGTAAATCTGTGGGCCAAAAGCATTTAAAAATGGCAGCAATAAATAGAAGCCTGAAATTGGAAACTTGAGCTTCGTAGAGAAGTTAGAGCCTAGCTTCTAGAATCAGACCCATCTATGTATAATGTGGTAGATTGCTTTATTTATGCCTTAGGTTCGTAGCCATAGAACAGAGATGGTAATATAAGTTTCATATCCATTCTTCACAAGTTGGTTTGAACAAATCACTTTGTGGAAAGATCAGTTGGCCATCTCTGTAAAAACCATCAGACAGATGGCTTAAACCAGATCTACGGCTGCCAACAGGAACAGTTTTGCTGCTGGAAGGAGCCACACATGCAAGGTTATGGGCAGAGGCGGGGCCCAGGGTGGTGTACAAACCACTGGCAGGAGGCTGGCACGCTGCTCAACACAGCAGGACAGACCAGCGTGTGACTCAGTGGCTACAGGGAAGCCAGAGGAAAACTCACCCTTGGAAAACATCCTCAATCATTTGATGAGTTTGTTATTCTGCAAATTGATTGTTTTGTGAATTAAACTGTGATGAATTTGTCTACTTTCCATCGGAGTACCTTCACAATGGGGTTGTTAGAAGAATTTAATGAAACGATGCAGGCAACATGTCTGGCACAAAGAAAGCAGGAAAGATAAGACCCTGCTTTCTCCTTCCTGGCTGCAATTATCCTTAGGGTCTTCTTGCTTCAAGAAGTTTGAGTATTTTAGTTGTAAATCATTCTGGGTTTTATGCAGGCTAAAAAGAAAGATGCCGCTAGTAAGACCGTAAGAAAATTTTCCAAAAGTTGAGAATAAGGCTGGGGAAAGGATGCCATGTCCTTTCAATGTCATAGTGGCAAACTGTTGAACAGACATGGCCAGGGATTATGTAATTATCTTAGACAGGGGTTGGCAAGAAGTCTTCTGTGTCGGCCCAGCCAGTAACTCATCCTGGTTTTGCATGTCTCTGTCACAACTATGCAGCGCTTATCACTACGGCATGAAAGCAGCCACAGACAGTATGTAATTGAATGCATGTGACTATTTCCAATGATCTCTGTTTCCATATTGGCCCCCGGGCTACAGGTGGACGACTCCTGCTTTAGGAGAACATGACTGTTTAACTTTGTCATTTACTATTGACACAAGCCTAGGTACTGCGAAGTTGTGTGGTAATTTACAGATTTTTGACTGTTAGAAGAGATTACCCCCTTGCCCACCGGTTATGATTTTATTGCCCTGTAGGAGATAACCAGTTTTATTTCTAACACAGCAATCTCATTTTAAAGGTTTTCTAAAAGGCCTATAAATACCCATTTCCTTAAATGCCCTTGGCACCATCCTTACTATCTCTCTGATTCTTTCGTGAATGAATTAAGTTTTTGACACATGTTTATTCTACATCTGTTTGCATAGTGTTTCTGAACACTTACAAATCATATTTTGACAAGCTGTTACTTAGAATACTGTTTATAACTCCGTTTTAGAGTTCAAATATCATTGCGTGATGTGCCAGAGATCACATTCACTACCTTAAATATGTTTGTCCTTATAGTAGGTCTGTAAAGTATATTATTATCCCCATTTTGCAGATGAGGAAACTGACACCTATAGAACTTGAGTAGCTATGAGCTGGCATAATTTACATTTGACCTAAGTTTTTCTGCTCTCCACAGCCCAATAATAAAGCTGAACTTCTTTTCTCAAAAATAAACATTATTGGCTCAAGTGCTACGTTGTTTAACAGGAACTTTGTCTCAATTTCTGGATCATAATCTAACTTTTAAGACCTAATATGTGGTTTAAAAAGGTATTTACATTCAGACATGTACCCCCTCATGACTAAAATTATGTACTTTTTTTTTCATCTTTTTACCTTGACAAGTTTAGGACTATTTATAACTTCCCCTTTAGCTGTATACATATGCTGTTTGTCATGTTTATTACTTTCAGGTGACGTGAAAGATGGTAAAAATAAGACAGACAGGAAGGATCAATCCAATGTTGGAAGTGATTCAAAGAAAACAGATGGTAAGAGCATAATTCCCATTATATTTTTCCATAAAATGTGCAATTTAATGCAGGTTTGTTAGAATTACACCTAGAATTGAGTTGTGATTGTTAATATATTCTTATATTATACTGTAAAAAATCCCTTCACTGCATGTAGGGAGTATTCAATCCCTATTTCAGTAATTTACAGATTATCATTGTGTCTCTTCCCCTCTGCCATCCTTTGCTTCATCTCAAATGCATTCTATACTCTCTCTCTTCACCACTTGCCATTTTTTCATTTTCACTTTAAAGTTGCCTCAGGACTTACTGTTTGGAATGGAATGGACTACAAGTCTTTGGATGTGAATTGTGGGAAGTGCTCCATGTTTTCAGTTTTAGCATTTTCTCTTTTAATGAGGAATTATTGCTTTTGGTAAGAACAGAAATCTGTTCGGTGTTATCACTGTGTTGGGAGGCCCACATGTTGGAGAATGTGCATAGTTGTAGAATGCAGGTTGGTCAGCAAGAATAAGTCTCAAAGGCAAGTTCCGAATGGCAATCCCCACCAAACCAGTTAGACTGAACCTACCTTGTGATGTGCTCCATGAACATTGCTTTTACTTTTCACAAAGAGCATTCTACTCCTCTAAAGCCTGAAAAATTCAGATTATATTATCCTTCAGACTTTGTACTAGCCTACTGAGAAAACTGTTCTTACCTTTTATATCAACCTCCTGTTTCATTTGTAACATGGGCTTATTCTTGGCGACTCCTTCATACATGTACATGATATTAAACTGAACATGCATGCTTACTTCGGCAGCACATATACTAAAACTGAAAATGCAAGTTTCTAGAGTTAGTGGTTTGTGTTAAGAGTCCCAGATGCTTTTGAATCATACCTCCCTAGAGACATTGCATTGGATGCTAAGCTGTTCTTTGATGGTTTGGTTTTAATGTCATTGAAGGACAACTACTGAGTATCCAGATTGAGGAGTAAGAGGAAATTTGAACACAACTCCACCTATTAAAAAGGAAGCAGCCCCTCTAGCTTTCATCTCTAAGCCACTGTGACAGGCTTTCTTTACTCATATGCACGAAATCAGTTCTCAAGACTTTTCTTTTAAGCTCATTCAATTATTCACTCCAGGTGTCTTATCACATAATTCCTAGGGAACACCCATATGCAGTTTTTCACCGAATTGTTTATGCAAATGGAAACCATATATCTAATAAAAATAAAAATAAATAGCTCCTTGAATGATTGTGACTAAGACATGAATTACACAGAGACAAAACAGAATTCAAGGGGCGCCTGGGTGGCTCAGTGGGTTAAGCTTCTGCCTTCAGCTCAGGTCATGATCTTGGGGTTCTGGGAGCGATCCCCACATTGGGCTCTCTGCTCGGCAAGGAGCCTGCTTCCCTCTTTCTCTGCCTGCTGCTCTGCCTACTTGTGATCTCTCTCTCTCTCTCTGTCAAATAAATAAATAAATAAAATCTTAAAAAAAAAAAAAACCCACAAAAAAAACCAGAATTCAAAATGACAGTCATCCTAGCCAAACTTTATTATGGGTAAGGTTTGTTGCCAGATATCATTAAACCCAAGTCAAGGTAACACAAGCCAGAACATGTACAGTAGAGGAGAATGGTGTTAGATATAAACCCAGCACCTGGACACCTGGCCCATCCTGCACCCAGTGACTAGTCCATCTGAATTCCTACAGCATAAAAGTGCAGAGTAAGTCCCAAATCTTTAATATGGGATCTTGTTGCATTTTTATATTGTACTACAAATATCTATAATATACATACATCATCTGTTATGATGGTGTCATGTGGGCTTGTGAGTTAAATTTTATTACCTTCATTAAGCACTTTTATTTTACCGGTGCCATTTGTAATTGAATTGTCCCCAAGTATTTAAAATAATTAAACAGCCTTTTTAAAAAAGAGGAGTGTGGGAAGGGATCAACAGATATGTTCTATTGAACAAATAAATGTAAAGCTTGATTGCTTAATGAACACGATTCTGGATCCCACTGGACAATGAAAAGCGTTCAATAAATAAAGAAGAGATATTTTCTGATGTCTATTCCTTTTCCCCTCCATAACTTTAACTTTCCTCTGCTTCCAGTGGGTCAGGTGTGTTTATACTAGCAAGCTTATACACAAACTTGGACATGAACAACTTTCTATTTTAATTTCATTGATGGGCTAATGTGACATCAGTCGTTCTCACTGCTTTGATATCATAAGGACACAGATCACTGGGCTTCAGTTACTTGTGCTATCTTGGCCAAAAATCTTTCCCAGGACTAAAGCCATTCTTGGTGGCATGAAGTGGAATAGATTTTGATCAGCCTCATTTATCTCTTCACCTTTGGTCATCAAAAGTCTCTACTTAAGGAAAAATTTTAAGTGATATATGGATCAGAGGGTACATTGATTATTAAAAGCTGCCTAGTAATAACCATATACATTTTGAACATTTCTTTTTAATAGATCCTATTACATTTGATGATGAGAGGTAGTCAGTTTAACTATTGTTAATGCCTCTCCCCCTAATACAAGCCTTGGGAGCCAGGGGTGACCAGCTCTGTCTAATTTTTGAGAGGGAGTATCCAAGCCCAATTCAGTGCCCAGTATGACCAAACCCACTATGGTTTGAAGTTGGAACATTGTACCCATTCAGAAAGAAACCTGATGGAAACTGGACCACAGTTGGTTATTCCCAAACTCCACTGAGCTGAGGCACACACAGAGGGAAGGGGTGTGTGCTAAAAGCATAAATTATATCCTGGCATAGTGAAAACATTGCAGTTGAACATTATCTCTGTCAGGCTACTGAGGTACTACTTAGTATCCTGCAGCACTAATTTTGAAACAGGCTTCAAAGAATGAATGTCCTTTGAAACTACATTGTTTACTCTTAGGGAGAAATGTACTAACATAAAAAGATCAGGGCCTCTGAGCCAAGATTCTCTCAGGGCCTAAACTTTTACAGTGTCACTGGGAGACTGGCGGGTTGCCAGTGAATGAATTATTTTCAGTGTGTTTTTAGTCATGTTTGAAACAGCATAGTCTCTTGGACCTGCCATAATTTTTTATAGTTGCCCAGAAATATGAATTTGCTTTTAACTTTGACTACATTAAAGAGATATAAGAGATAGCCACCATTTGTGTCTCTCAAAAGATTGATTATATGATATAATATATAAGATATAAGATAGCCACCATTTATGTCTCTCAAAAGATTGATTATAATTAGGCCCTACGGGGTTATTTGCCAAGTCCCAGAGAGAGAGTTCAGCAGGAATTTCTCCTTCACTGAATGTTCTGGAAATTGGAGTGTTTAAGAGTGTTCATGAAATTTAAAAGTCAATTGTGTAGAATGAAAAGAGTGGACAAAAGACCATCTATGTACCTCTGCTTCTGCCAAAAAGGACTAATAAGAATTAGATTCACCCTTTCACCTGAAACAATAATAATCATAATAAAGGACAACTTACGTGGAAAAATAGTTTTCAAGATACTGGACGTCAAGAAATGAAGAACAGTAATCTCCAAGAAATAGGAAACAAATGATATAATACCTATGATTGCTCCAGCTTACTCCTTTGAGAGGATTTCCAAGCAACATAGGAGGGAGAACCCAGGCAGACCTGATGGATTTCTTGAGTTGAAGAGTTGAATAAGGGTCTGGGGAGAGCCATTGTGGCTCAAGTTAATAAGATAAAGTACCAGAGAGGAGAGAGCTGTAGAGATATAGAACTCCAGAAATCTAAAGAGTAGTCATTCATCAGAGTCCTGATTGACCCATACAGATAAGAAACTACCTGAGATCAGGAAAGAACCATTCAAGAGGATTAGAGGGAGTGGTCCTAATGTTCACACTTCATATAAGGCAATAAAAGTGCCTATTCCCAATAGCCAGACTTGAATACCTCATAATTTAAAGGGAATTGGGTAGAAGCCACCTAAATTGTCTTATTTTGTTAGTTGGGGAGTAAATAGCTGTAAGCTAAATGCTGCTTTGGTCTCACCTAATAAACCTTGAAAACAAGACATAAAAGGATCAAAGTGTTTCCAAATAACTGCACCCCAAAGTTCGTGTATAGGAATACAAAAGTATCCAGTACCCAACAAGGTAAAATTCACCATATCCAATATCCCATCAAAAACTACTGGATGTGCAAAGAAGCAAGAAAATACTATGCGTAATAAGAGAGAGAGAGAGAGAGAGAGAACTGAAACAGAAGTTAGAATAGCAGACAAGAATATTAAAGTAGTTCTTATAACTATAACCCATATGTTTGAAAGTTGATTAGGGATATGGGAGATACAAAGAAGGGAAAATCAAACTTCTAGAAATAAACACTATAATGTATGATTGAGAAAACATACTGGATGGTATTAGCTAAAAACATCGGATGAAATTAATAATAAGTGAAAATAATAAGATGAAAATAATAATAAGAGATTAGACATTGTAGAAGAAAAGAATAGTGAAAAACTATCCAAAATAAAACAGAAAAAAATTGTAAAGAGCAACAGTGAATTTTAGGACATCTTCAACAGCCTAATGTATGTAACTGGAGTTCCTAACATAAAGAAGAGAGAGAGGAAGAAAGAAAAATATTTGATGAAGTAATTTACTTGGGCAAAGCAAATTTTGCCCAATGATAAAAACTACAAATGCACAGACTCAAGAAGCTCAGTAAAGCCCAAGCACAAGAAATTTGATAAAATTACACCAAAACATGTCATAATCACATTATTCAAAACCAGTAATGAAGAGAAAATTTAAAACAGCAAGAGGGATAAAAAAAATTCATGTACAATTGAACAAAGATGAGGATAACTGTAGATTTCTTATCAGAAACAATGCAAGCGAGAAGACAGTGGAGCAACATCTTTAACATGCTGAAAGAATAAAATAATTCAATTAAGAATTCTATACCCAGCAAAAATATCTTTCAGATATAAAAGCTGAAAGAAGTCATCACTGGTGGACCCCACAGTACAAGAAATGTTAA